TTAAATTGGAAGAGCGAATAACTAATAAGTGATGAAATATGAATGTACCTATTGGAATTAAGGATTTATACAGTAGATTGCTGGAGGCAGCTAAACGCCTAAACTTAAAATAAATAATAAATTGTAATACTTACTACTTAGAGACAATGTCACAGTTAAGGCGTGGACGGTGGAACGTGGTACTGGACACTGAAGTACTAGAAACCGAATGGTACCGTGCCGGGCTACCTGTATGAATATTTTGAAATATAGGTACTGTCGGTACTAACAATAATGAGAAATGAGCATTGACCAGTAAATATTTTGACTATAACAAAACAAAATAAGACAGTTAACGATGAAGAACRTRGCATTAACCTTAAATAGTTAAATGCATGACTAAATAAACAGGCATGTAGAGATGCGCAAATAATATCGATATTGTCGACATGTTGATATTGTGGCCAAAAATATCGATATTTTTWTGTCGATATTTGTGATTCAATATAAATGTAATAGCTTAATGAAAATAATTAAATCAATATTTTCATTTTGTTACATACATAATGTATAATTTTTTTTGATCAAATAACAAAAATATCGTCTATATTATGATATATCTGAGGTTAGGTGTCACCATATCAATGTCAAATCTAACAAAATATTTGTTATCCAATCTTAGATTGGAAGAGCGAATAACTAATAAGTGATGAAATATGAATGTAACTATTGGAATTAAGGATTTATATAGTAGATTGCTGGAGGCAACTAAACGCCTAAACTTAAAATAAATAATAAATTGTAATATTTACTACTTGGAGACAATGTCACAGTTAAGGAGTGGACGGTGGAACGTGGTACTGGTCAGTGGTCACTGGACACTGAATGACTGAAGTACTAGAAACCGAATGCGTATGGTACAACTGTCGTACCGTGCCGGGCTACCTGTATGAATATTTTGAAATATAGCCAATATAGGTACCATGATATAACTAACATGCCGTACGCCGGTATGACAGCTGCACTGCAGCAGGCTGCAACTTTAACAAAAATGAGATACTACTGTGGTGAGACCGCGGCCWTATAACCACTCGCTCACCGCACGACGCGCGCCTTTTTATATCTTCTTTTTGTATTCGTTATTTATTCTTTTTTTATGTTTCTGTATACGACTTCTTTGTAATTTTATTTATGTTCTTTTCTAAAGCGACCTCGACCCACCTCGCGCGACAACGAAGCGGCCGACGCGCCGACGCTGTCGCAGACCGCAGTGTCGCCCTTCGCCTACGACGCCCGAACGAGCAACGTCTCGACCGACCGAGCTCGCAACGAGCAGCTCCGGCTGGACGCCTTTACGACTCGWACGACCACACGCGACGCGCGAACGATYGCGAGCTTGTACACTCGCAACGTCTCGATCTCGCCATTATTGTGTAACGAACTACAACCAATAAAATACTCGACGCAACGCGTCATTACGATATATTGTGTTTACATTTATTTACCTCGAACTTGACGTGTCCTCGTACGACGACGTATCGACCCTCCTGGTTATACGGAGTCAGAACGACCTACGAATATACGAGAGTATGGGTGACGTAGTGGTGGTCGAACCTGTTTCCCGACAGCACCGACGACAATCGACACTGTCTACCACTACGTCACCCATACTCTCGWATATTCGTAGGTCGTTCTGACTCCGTATAACCAGGAGGGTCGATTAGAGTTGGCGGTATTTTCGGTATACCGGTGAGTCACCGGTATTTCGATCTACCGGTATTTTAAATACCGGCTTCTTACACTTACCGGTATACCGGTCTTTCGGTATTTACCGTTTGATCGGTATTTATCGAATATTCGGTA